ATCATCAACTGAACTAAATACGATTCCGGTATTGTTAAGTTTGTTATTTCCAACTGAACTAAACACGATTCCAGTATTGTTAAGTTTGTTATCGCCAACTGAACTAAAAACGATTCCGGTATTATTAAGCTTGTTATTTCCAACTGAACTAAACACGATTCTGGTATTGTTAAGTTTGTTATCGCCAACTGAACTAAAAACGATTCCAGTATTGTTTGTTTGTTTTGAAAGTTAAGCACAAAGCTACACAATGGGCTATCTGTGCTCTGCCCACCACGGGTATCGAAACCTGGATTCTAGCGTTGTAAGTCCGCAGACTGGGGGGGGGGGTCCAGTATTGTTAAGTTTGGTTTAGTTTGAATTTCGCACAAAACTACTGAAGGGCTTTCTGCGCTAGCCATCATATTTAATTCAGTTAGTGATAACAGAAGTATTAATCTATCCAGATCTAAAATGAATCAGATTATATATTATTATCAATAAATAAAGAAAGTAACATTATCACCATAGATGAGAGGATGAACTCAATATTAATTTTATCGTATTCTAATGTTTAGTTTTGAAAGGACCAAAACCGTTGAAAGTTTTAGCCATTATTTACAGATCCTTTAAAATCCGATAACGTTTGTTAAAACAGATTAACAGTTCATAGGTTCGACCAATTGGTTAACTCTGTTAATCCCCATTTTAGCTTATATTGCACTCAGTGTTTACAGATTTCTCATATCAGTTTTAATATAGTCATCCTGTTGTTCAACTTTACTGTTTTTGGCCAAATATCCTTAAAAATTGTTAAGAAGGATTTTTTCGCTTAGCTTAGTAAATGCCGATATGAATTTTTTCCAGTCTAACTATTGATGGCTTATATCATGATTAAGCACTAACTTAGTTCCATGAATAGGGATGCTACAAATCTATATAAACAATACGCATGTGTTTGTCTGTCCGTACCTTAGAAAGACCTTTGTCCAAGGAGTCTGGATTGCATATTGACTTTTACATTCAGAATCACCTTACCTGTATTTTGTTTAGTCAAACTTTTTAATACAACGAGTATGCAACACAAAGACATGATGTTGTTGTCATCACGTGACAACTAGCTTGGATTTCAACTTTTGTTTTTATTTTCAAATTATTTTACATAAACAATCCTTGACACTTAATTTCCTTAAAAAATTAACATTACACTAACTACAGATTTCAATGGCTTTCTCGACCTATTTAGGTCTAAAATGTGCATGCGTAATTTGTTCAAAACCATATGCTTACCACTTTGTGAACACGCATTCAGCCGTTTATGCATATTCAGCTAAGTTTGTCGTCATTACAACTTTACATTTACTTGACTTTGCAATAATTTAGCTTCTATTCGTTTCATAGACTGCTATTTATCAGTCTAGCACATAATGCCTGCAAGAAAGCGTAGCTTAAATAGCATGTGTTAAAATTATAGAAATAAGGAAAATTCAAGCGAGGGCATGAAAACTACCGTAAATGTTTTGTGGGTCGCGGATAGTAGTGATTTATTAGGCTTAGCGATATAACAACCAACACTCCGAATAGTTCATTACAGGTGACATTTGTGCTTTATGCAATGCCACTAGCAGACAGTAATTGGCGTATAACGACGCTCATACACATGGTGTACTTACATTGGTCCAAAACGTCAACAATGAACTGCTTATTCTAAATAAGATCCAATATAGCAGTCTTCTTTGATGTTTAGCAAAGTTTTCTTTGGTAAAGACTAAATTTGAAATCCAATAGAACAGTCTCCTTTTTTATTTAGCATCATTTTATTTAGTAGAATAACTTTCATTAAGTCTAACTCAGATCTATCATCACACTAAAGTATCAGAAATGAATTCAGTGACTCACTTGATTCTTTCTTTGGTGGACTCAAAGCACCAGGTACAGTGTTGATATTATCTGGTAACAAGGAAGAATGATTGGTTATTAATGTTTTGTATGGTATAACAAGGGAGAATGATTGGTTATTAATGTTTTGTATGGTATAACAAGGGAGAATGATTGGTTATTAATGTTTTGTATGGTATAACAAGGGAGAATGATTGGCTATTAATGTCTTGTATAGTGTAACAAGGAAGAATGATTGGCTATTGATGTTTTGTATGGTACTAGGAAGAATGATTGGTTATTAATGTTTTGTATGGTATAACAAGGGAGAATGATTGGCTATCAATGTCTTGTATAGTGTAACAAGGGAGAATGTTTGGATGTTAATGTTTTGCATGGTACTAGGAAGAATGATTGGATATTAATGTTTTGTATGGTACTAGGAAGAATGATTGGATATTAATGTTTTGTATGGTATAACAAGGAAGAATGATTGATATTAATGTTTTGTATGGTAATAAGGAAGAATGGTTGGACATTAATGTTTATATGGTAACCAGGAAGAATGATTGGATATTAATGTTTTGTATGGTAACCAGGAAGAATGATTGGATATTAATGTTTATATGGTACTAAGAAAGAATGATTGGATATTAATATTTTGTATGGTAACCAGGAAAAATGATTGGATATTAATGTTTTGTATGGTAACAAGGAAAAATGTTTGGATATTAATGGTCTGTATGGTAACAACGAAAAATAACTAGATATTAATGTTTTGTCTGGTAACAAGGAAGAATGATTGGATGTTAATATTTTGTATGGTAACAAGAAAGAATGATTGGATATTAATGTGTTGTATTGTAAAAAGGAAGAATGGTTGGATGTTAATGTTTTGTATGGTAACAAGGAAGAATGATTGGATGTTAATATTTTGTATGGTAACAAGAAAGAATGATTGGATATTAATGTGTTGTATTGTAAAAAGGAAGAATGGTTGGATGTTAATGTTTTGTATGGTAACAAGGAAGAATGATTGGATGTTAATATTTTGTATGGTAACAAGAAAGAATGATTGGATATTAATGTGTTGTATTGTAAAAAGGAAGAATGGTTGGATGTTAATGTTTTGTATGGTAACAAGGAAGAATGATTGGATGTTAATATTTTGTATGGTAACAAGAAAGAATGATTGGATATTAATGTGTTGTATTGTAAAAAGGAAGAATGGTTGGATGTTAATGTTTTGTATGGTAACAAGGAAGAATGATTGGATATTAATGTGTTGTATTATAAAAAG